TGCACGACAATGAAGTGGTGGTCCATTGGTGTCGATGAAATGCTCAACGTCGTTCTTCGGTGTTAATTTCATTGAAGTTATTCTTGTGATACCAGGGTATTCTTCGAGGATCTTGTGATACGGTTGTTGCACATCTATGCTTCTGATTGTGGGCAGATTGGTTGCTTGTACAAAAGACTGAGATGCAAGATTGGTTTTCCCGTCGATGATTCTTCTATTTTTGATGTCGACGACCAACTGGTGATGTTGAAGAAAATCAGCACCGATGATTGGTTTGCTGACTTTAGCGACGATAAATCTCCATTTGAATGGTCGGCGTAGATTAAAATCAAGTTCCATTGTTTTTTCTCCATATGTAGAAATAACCGTATTGTTTGCTGCATAGAGTTGAAAATCTAGTGGCTTCAACTTCTGTCCTTGCTTCGGCGGTAACACTGAGATATTTGCTCCGGTGTCGATAAGGAAAGTAAGCTTGCTTTTTTTATCGGTGACGAAAAGACGGTAGGACTTTGCTGTTACGCTGGATCCCGTCGCATCGAGCGTACTAGTTAGTTTTCCGTATTCGTATTTTCATTTTTGAATGTACACGGTGCTGTGCATTTTCTTGCCTCGACCCCGAAACGTCGATGATAGTAGCAGTAAGGGGATCTTGATGTTGAGTGCTTATTCGACTTCTACTTGCAGAGCGGTTGCGACGAAAAGGTGATCTTCGGTGTTGCTGATTGCGCTGGTTGTACTGTTGCTGGTAAAAGGTATGATGCTGGGAAGCTTTGAGCGCGGCGACTTCGAATGATAGCTTCCGAATTTCTTCGAGAAGAAACTGGGTATCATTGGCCTTTGTTGAAGTGCCTTCGATGATCGATATGTGTGAGCTACTGCTGTTTTCGATCATCTTGTCCGCCAGGAGTGCCAGTTCGTCGAGCTTCGTCTGCGTGCTGAATGTTTCGCTGACTGCTATTACCGATCGAATATGTGGTGGTAGGTGGTTTACCCACATTAGCCGTAGTGTTGAATCCGGAACTTTATCTCGCGCCAAAGTACGCATTTTGCGTAGGAGTTGTGTGGGTTTCTGGTCTCCAAGTTCTATTTCTGATAGAAGTTTTTGTAGCTGTCGACTGTCGGATTCTTCGTATGCGGAGATCAGACGATCCTTCAGTGAATTATACTGGTCGACTGCTGGTGGGTTGTACAACAGGTCCGCAATTTGTTCGATGTCTTGTTTCTCAAGTTGGGCTATCACCATCTGTGCTAATTGCGCTTGGCTCTTCTTTAAACCATTCGTTGCGGCTTCAAAACTGACGAACCAAAGTCGTGGTTTGTCTCTCCAAAACGGTGGTATTCTTAACGATAGAGATATACCGGCGATTTCTGGTTCCTTTACCGGGTTTGATGTATATGTGTTTGCCTCCTGCTCCATAATGACGGCTTGATTACACTGATTTTATATAAACTGAAGTCTTCCTTCTCGGTGTTCGTACGGGTTTCCTTCGCGGTGTTCGTGCAATAGTAGTGGTACGTCGCAGGGTGTTCCTTCTTGGTGTTCGTACCGGATCTTCCCCCTCGGTGTTCGTACGGGGTCACCACTGTAATAGTGGAGACGAACTGTCCACTATTAACAGACTCCGAGTGGTTTTCTTTAAGGTGGAGAAATGAAACTACTGTTTATGTTTATGAATGTACTGTCGAATGGGATTCGGAATGGAATATATTTTGCATCAACCTTGCCTATATTTATATGGCTGGCTCACTATTGATTTGCCAATGGTAACAATTAATATTTTGCCTAGCCAATTATATTGCTTATTTTATGACCAATGAAAACTATTTAAAATATACAATTATCTACGTTTCGTTTCCCGGCGTGAGACTTGTTTGTTGTTCACGAAGCTACGTCGCTGGACCGGGCTATATAAGACATGCAGATCGGTGCGCACGCGTAGTCGGCGGGCGGCGGCGGTGTGGAATACAGCTCCGGAACAGCAAGAGGAAACGAACTGCGGCGTTGAAGAAACGGCTCACCATTGGTCGACGGATACGTGACGATAGCGGCGTGTGAAGTCGGTGTGGCGCTGAATGATATTTGCGGCTGCTTCTTGTTTCTTTATAAGAACGTCAAATTATCTATATACAGTCCGCAGTATCTCAGTAGCCAAGAATAATTAGGAAATAAAATGTTTTTTTATTTATTCTCGCCTTCCGCGTTATGGTAGCAGCGGAGTATATATTATTTATTCCCGTTTAGGTTTGATTAATCTGGCTGCTACGAGTTTGGGTGTTCGAAAATGAGTTAAAGCCAACAAAAATTGTTCGTTCACGGAGTGTTGCAAAAAAAAAAATGGTGGCCACGTTTGTCTCCAAAACCGGCCATGTTACGACTATTCCTCTTGAGGGACAAAGAACGGTTAATGCAGAATGGTATGCTAGCATTTGTTTGCCACAGGTCGTTTCTGAACTCCGTAAAGAGTACTGCAACCGCCGCATCATCATCACGACAATGCGAGTTCTCACACCGCACACAGAACAAAAGAGTTTTTAGAGCAAGAAAACATAGAATTACTAGACCATCCGCCGTACAGCCCCGATGTAAGCCCTAATGATTTCTGTACTTTCCCTAAAATAAAGAATAAATTGCGTGGACAGAGATTTTCATCATATGAAGAAGCTGTGGACGCCTACAAAACGGCCATTTTCGAATGGAGACCCCAACTTCCGAATGGAATGGTTGCTTCAATGATTGGTTCCATCGTATGGAAAAATATGTCAAATTTCGCAGAGAATACTTCGAAAAGCAATAAATACATTTTTAAATAGTAATGTTGTGTCACTTCATTAATTCCCGAAATTTTCAGTGCCGCCCTCGTAGATGCGTTTTCACTCGTGAGTACAAAAATGGAATCCCTCGTTTCCAGTAAAATGAGTCCCGGGTTCTCTACACTAATCATATGTAACACAGCAGCAATAAGCTACTATTTCACGCTGGTATTCAATGAGAGCATGGTCCTTCCCCGATCGAGCCGACCCATTCGTACTAAAAATATTAATGCATGCCCTGCATATAGCATGGCCCGCTACGTGAAAATTTTAATACAATATGAAAAGGCACCTAATGTTGTGTTCTAGTTCTAGAAACATTGGTATAGTTTACGGGCTTCGTAAGTATGACCATATTTCGCAATATAGATCTAAGCTTAATTGGCTTACAATGAGACAGGGGCGCAATTCCAGAATATTACTTGTTCTTTTTTCCATAATATAAAGCTCCCAAGAAAGATAGCTTTTAAAAAGTTGGTGCGTAATTATTTATTAAAGACAACGCTTCGTACATGAATCGTCCTCATCATTTATATTGTTAACAGATGTATATATTCATAGTTATATATATATGTACGATTTATATATACTCGATGACCTTTTGTACCGTCTAGGAAAAATAGGGTGTAACATGTGAACGGAGTAGAAGCCTGTGGCACTGATATTTTACAAAAAAATTGAATTAAATAAATAAATAAATTAAAATCTATCGCAAGCACTACTTTATTTGGAACGGCAGTAAAATAGTAGGCATCTTCGACCTTGTCACTTCGCAGGGTCACAGGCTCAAGAGCAAGGTAATTGTTCAAACAAATTATTTTCAAAATGTTTGTTTATATTTTTTTGTAAAATATCAGTGCCATAGGCTTCTACTCCGTTCATATGTTACACCCTATTTTTTCCAGACAGTAAAAAAGGTCATCCAGTATTTTATGTATATTAATATGTATGTATATATTTGTATATATGAATATATGAGATATTTGTATAGTTTATTTATTAGTAAAATGTATATATTACGTGGTAATTATCATTTTTTTAATTCAATATTGCTACACCTACGTCAATATCTCACCAGGAGTGGTGATGCGTCGTTGACTGGCAGAGAACGCCTCAAGGCATTAAGTCCTCCCTTTTATTCTTGTATATTAAGGAATGCAATAAAAAATATGTATATATTTTCATATTTATTTTAAATATTTAGGAAATATTAAAATGTGATGAAGATAGGGTGGTAAATGCTATTTGACGGCTTGGTGGCTAAGCGTTGAGCTGTACGGCATTCAGCTGCAAGCCCATGATCTCACATCCGTACAGAATAAATATTTTCTATGACTTACAAACAATTGATTTCTGACCGGACCTGGATGTTTGTTCATGTGCAATTTGTGTATGTTGTAACTTGTAATATGCCGCCACGACCATAAATACTTTTTAGTGCAGGGCTCAGAATGACAAAGGAAGATAGTCGGAGCGCTTCGCGTACATTTTAAGTGACGCCGAAACCATGCGCAACTAGTGCGTGTCAACTTACGCACACATCTTTTTTCTTTCTTTTTTATCATTCCGTTTATTGAGATGTAAAAAGTGTCATTTTTATCATTCACCAAGTCATCTAAAACCTAAACCTAGTTTACTTACAAACTTAAAATTTGGCATCAAGACATTATTATTATGGACGACACACACGGTCAGTTCAACTGATCATTCCAACAGATCAGTTCAAACTAGAACTGTTGATATATAAAACCATATTTTGCGCAGTCTGCATGACAAACTGAAACAACATAATTAAATGAATATCATATTTTGTATAAAATTATTATTAAGTCATAATTCTTACATAAAAGATGAAAGAATATTTACCAATTAGTTTGCCGCAATTAGTATACCGCACCGCAGTCGTGCAAGGCAGTTCGATGATTAATTTGTTGTTATCGATAATGGCGTTGCGCCCGCGCAACATGCTCACCGCCCTAGCCGGGCTGAGGTCGAGCTATGATTTATGACCCAAACTGCTCGGACTAAATAATTTTACTATAATTTTAAGGATTTTATCGCCTTTCATTTAAAATTTTAAGAAATCATTAAGTTAAGCATGCCTTTGATTTCGTCTTTCTTTCATTGTTAGCCTGAGGTGTAAGGTTGTTTTTTTTAAAGTTCTTTAAAACTTGCACTTTTGTCCGCAGTTCTTCGGCTACTTGGCGATGGTGTTGTATGGGTACGACGCGTTCCTGAAATATCGTGCGTGGCGCGCGGGCGAGTTGGCGCAGGGCCATCGCGTGCCCGCCAAGCAAATGCACGTCGTCACGCCCCCCAGTTTGCCCTAGCCCCCACTATGCTGAACCACCATCACATTAATTAAAAGACCGTTGTTGTAATAGCGCTCAAATTGATTAAAATTTATTTGATATTAACTGAAATCATATTTATGCGTCTTTCGAGGCTGTTGTAACAGTTGTCTTATATCTTGAGGACCTGACCGAATGATGTGAAGGTATATCGCACGAAGTTAGTGAGTACAGTCTCGCGCAAATTGTTTAAAAAGCTATTTTGTTACTAACTATATTGACAGTCATGATCCTTTCGAGGCTGTTATAACAGTTGTCACACCTCTTGGGACCTGACCGAATGATGTGCAGTAAAATGCAAAGTTAGAGATGACAATCACGCTCAAAGTATTTGTTATTAACTATAATGATATTCAAGATCCTTTCGAGGCTGTTATAACGTTTGTTACTTGAGACCTGACCGAATTATATGAAGTAGCTAAATTAGTAACAATTATCTCGCACGATTGGTGCGTATTCATTGAGATTATCGTGATTAGTGTGGTGTATGTACAATACGCAGCACGTAACTTTAGCGCTGAACGAAACTTGGAGGGGATAGCTGCGAATGTCGTATCAGTACCGGGGACGGAATGCGACTGAAGAGCCAATCAGCGTGTGCGATCGACGCACAGCCAATCATACGCAATAATGTGGAATACGGCCAATTATGCGCAATAACGGTCATCGCTAGACTTTCGTGCCGCGAGTTGTACCATACACATTTGAAGGGTGTAAATTCTTACACCCGTCGTGTCATTACCGTTCGTGTAATTTGGTAAAAGATGATGTCCCCACAAACAAAACTACAAGTTTTTGGGTCTCAAGTTACGTGCTGATAATCGATATACTGAAATTGTTGTATAAAAATGTTTTGTTCGTCAACATCAAATGTTGTCTCAATTTTTTTTTGTTAGATTGCACTTGCATATATATAAGTAAATACTACATAAATAAATTACATTTTAAACAGATGGATATTCCCTACTAGTACAAATGTTAATTAATAACTTATTTATTATATGATTATTTTGTATTTCCTAAAATAAAAAATTTCACAGTCCTAAGCTTCCATAACAAAGTATTTTTGTTATGATATTAGAAAAACATTATAAGTATTATTTAATTTTTACATATTATTAGTTTGTACTTACATATATTAATATATGTATATTAGTATTCGAACGAGAGCTAAATTTATTTTAAGTTATGTCGAAAGCACGCACACACACACACACACACACACACACACACACACACAACAAAAACATATACAACATGTCCCAAAATTCAACGATAAGCCAACACCGGAGGATAGACCTGCCCCGGACTAATCGGGGAAAAAAAAGAAAAAAAATATATCCAAATTATATTTTTAGTTATATAAAAAAATGAAATTCTTCAGAAATTGAGACCGTTTATGATATTTTTCACTACCATGAGCACAATTTTTTTAATATTTGTTTCTTTTTTTTATAGGCGTTGTTGTATTAATGCTGGTGGCGAACAGTTCGAACATTTGACTTAATAAATTACACGTGAAACTGTTTATACCATTTGTTTTGAAATATTAAACATTTTTCAAGAACTAATACTTTTATTACACCCGACCGTCATTTGGTGTTTAGAAATAATAGGCCCATATTTTTTTATAACTTGTTTTCCTAGAGTATTATACCATTTTGGAATGTTGGTTAGTTGCGTCACTTTTTAAAAAAACTTGTCATACTAGTGTTCATATTTTTTTACACCACGATAAGTTAAAGTTGGTTAAAAGTAAAAGTCTTCAAAAAAATTTAGAGAATAAAATAAGTTTCATTAATTTTCGGGATAAAACAAGAGTTATTCTGGATTTTTAAGAATTGTGGTAGATAGCAGTGCTGTTCAGGTTGCCTATAAAAAAAATAAACAAATATTAAAAAAAAATTGTGGTCATGGTAGTGAAAAATATCATAAACTTTCTCTATTTCTTAAGAATTTCATTTTTTTATATAACTTAAAATATAATTGGGATATAATTTTTTTTTCTTTTTTTCCCCCATTTGTCCGAGGCAGGTCTATCCTCCGGTGTTGGCTTATCGTTGAATTTTGGGACATGTTGTATATAAATATATATATATATATATACAAGATGTTAGTGTAAACACCGTTGTTCTTGAAACCAGTGGTTTGGTTTCACTTGTAGAAAGTAATTTCAATGAAAAATAACAACATTTTTTTTTAGTCAAATCTCAATTTTTTCTTACAATTATTTCACCCTAGGCAAGTAGGGATATACCTACAGAATTCACAACAAAAAACTCAACATATCGTAGGTAGCGGCAGCGATTCGCGGTCAAGGCCAATGTCACTGTGTCAGTGTGTCAGTCCTTCGCTGCGTCGGTGCGGAATGTACGTGTAGTTTTGGTGCGAGTGTATTTGATTTGTCATTATGTCCTACATAAACGTGCAGTGGAAATGTGCCTCTTCGTTCACTGAGAAACCTCTACTACCAACATGACGGTGCCCCTGCACATTTTCAGCTGCAAATCAGGGCTATGCTGGTTGAGGAGTTTCCTGGGTGATGAACCGACCTTACCCCGCTGGACTTTTATTTTTGGGGAGAAGTGAAGCGCCGAGTGTATGCAACTAAGTTCCGTAATACGTCGAATTCTTAGTGTATTTAGAGAAATGACACTGTTGTGCTTCTAGCTTTTACGATTAATGTAAAAGCTGATCAAAATGGAATTCATTTACGAGGATTTTATTTAATAGGTAAGTGTAAATAACCAATCAATCAGGCTACACATCAAGCTGTACAAATCCTTTGTCTTGGCCTCGCTTTGTATGATCTTTCCGTACAATGAACGGTCAGCTTATGCTTCAAATGCCCTTTGCGTTCCAGGGCCGCGGTACGGTATACGGTAAATACGCCAAAAATCCTACCTAATGATTTACTATTTACTATTATTAATCTTTAATTTTCTTTGTTGTTAAATCTAACTTACATTAATTTGGACTCGTCACGCAACACAAAGGGTAGGAATTTTTATCTGTCCTAAGCAAGTGTGAAAGTATGAAGGAAAAGTTTCATGATAGGTTATGTGTACCATTCGTCGTTGCGCGTGCAAAACCGCGGAAGAGCAGTTTGTAAATACCGCGTATCTACATTTTGAGAATTTTACAGGAAGAAGAAAAAACTTAATAACTTGGTAATTTATAATTATATTACCGACTGAACTTTATAGCAGCTTCTTTGTTACTTGTTTTATAGAAATTTAACGTAAATGTACTAGAAACTTGTTTAGATTTCGTGTAAAGTCACTTACGCGGTTTTGTACCAGCAAATTACATTTAAATACTATACTTTTAAGAGATACGCGGGCTTAAAATAAAATACATTGAATTTATTATGATATATTATAGTAGAAAAAAACATACAAAATTATACATCTTCTTAGAAAAAAAACAATAACTCTTACTCTAGATATCAATTTAATCACACAATCCCTGAATTTCTCTAATTACAATAAAACAATTACGTTCACTTAATTAAGAATAATAAACTAATCAGCCTCCTCGATCTTCTAAAATCCCAGCATTTCAATCTTTGTTAATTAGTTTCTTGGACGAATACGATTTTTTTTATTAAAAGCTTTAACAATTAAATATGGCAATCATTACACCTGGATGCTCTTATATTCTTATTATCTTAGACGTAGATTCTTTTTTTTTTAATTTAAGAACTAAGATAATAGGCTTCTATTATCTTAGTTCTTAAATTCTCATTAAAACGATTAATAATCACAGCATTTAAGATCTTGGTTATTAGGAATATTATTTAAAAGGTAAATTATCATAAAAACTATGACAGTCTTTAGGTATGACACTCTTCAATTCCTGTAGGTGATCATACTTTGTTTTGGATATTGGTTGTCTGGATTCATACAATGGACCTACGCAATCAATTAAAGAGTCAGATAATATCTTTTTTTGGTCTCCTAGGTAAAGGAACAAAATCGTCTACAAAGTGGAGTTTAAAATCAATTGTCCCACTAGGACTGTATCTTAGGGCCCTTATGTCCATGACGACACGATCACCCGCCCCACGACTGGGTCTTATTGAATCATAAATGAGGTGATCTTTATGAGCAAAGTTTTTAAAAAATGTATGATCAGGAGTAATAACCTGGTAAATACTCGGCACTTTTCTGGCCTCCTTCGTGATTGTTGCGTATTGTGAGGGTAGAAATATTTCTCGATTTTTCAATTTTCTTTCGATCACCGAGTGCACCGAATCGACTTCCATCTGAGTGTGGCCCTTTTCCAAGTGTTTTTGAGTTATAACTATGTTCTTGGCCATGGCCAAACGCAACAACGCATTCGACACAATATTATTCCTATTCTGGGCTGTGCAGCCATCTGTGAACAATACTACATCCTTTGGATCATTTTCCAGTAATTTAGTTAAATAATCTACAAGAAATGATGCGTATGTAGTAGCTTTTAAGTCGCATCCGTCTCGTCGAACCAGTAACACGCGACTCAATTAGTGCCCAGGTTGTAAATTGTAAAGTTGTGGACGGCAAGTTTTGTCTTAAAATATAGTGCACTGGCGTTGAGTGAAAGACACAATTTGACTGCTTGAAGATCTGCTGTTAATGCATGTATCGTCCCTTTCCGTGCTGCTTCTTTGTCAAGGGTTTTCTCAATATGTTTTATATACTGCTCATCTGACATGTTACCTGCTTTGTGAGCGCAGCACTGGTCGCATGCGTCTTTCTTTGGTTGAAATAGACTGATGTTCTCTTCGAATAAAACCCCTTCAAATACCTTCCTAGAGGCCACAGGTTCATTTCGCGAAACTGAGTAGTCTACATATAGACGATACAATTGTGATTTTGTTTGTATGATGGGTTCTAAATATAGCTTTGAAGTAGATTGTCTACAGTAATGAGACGGTAGTTTCGGTAGCGCCATCAAGTATCTTCTGGCTGATTCTTTTTTTGTTTCTGTGGCTACTACAGCACTTGGTTCAGATTCATTGTCGATAGTCGTCTTCTCTCCTAGCCAATATCGAACTGTCCATTTTTTTATGCCCAATGTTTCCAAAAATGTTTTTAAGCAAACTCTTTCCTTTTTATCGTTTACTTTTAAATAGTAAACTTTGGTGTCACTGCGCCTTGAATTTGAGTTCTTAGTTTTTCTAGTTGTAGGTGTCTTATCCACCATTGAAGCTATATACATTTTCTTTTCATGCCAACTCATTTTCCAATAGGTTTTAAAAATTTCTGACCGCACTTCTTCTGTTAGCTTTGGGCAATACATAGCTTTCCCACTGAAACATCTCTTCGACATACATATTGGACCCATTATTCTGGCGAGTTTAGGATCATTTTGAACGAATTTAGTGCCATCTTTTTTTAAATCCAATGTATTCCTCGCCGCTTATTTATTATTCTTTTCCAGTTATTAGGATTCCCTTTCCGCTTTCTTCCATTTTTCTTCGCCGTATTTTCTATTTCCCTTTCGGGAAACCACTCCGTATTTGCTGGTGATAGTGGCTTTAAATTTGTTATGTCTGAGAGGGCGACAAATGAAGGATCAGTGACTGAATCATCGGACGAAAATTCAAGGTCATTTTTATTAGGCTCCACTATATTAATGTTTACATCAATAGAAGTAATATTCTCATCTCTATTCTGTGTTGAAGTAGTATCCAATATTGTTGTAAGCGTAGTCAATTCGGATGTCAAATTTTGGTTCGGAGGTTCTTGCTCTAATTCCCCTGACAAAGGAACGGAAACTAGTTCTTGTTGCTGATTTTCTGCAGCAAGTTTATTTGCATAATATTGTTTATTCAATATTTCCTTCTTTTTTCGCAACAATATTTTTCGCAACAATATTTTTCGCCTTTCAAATAGATCTCTTAAAGTTACCACGTCATCGTTAATATCAACATTCTCTAAAAATAACTCTTCATTTTCTTTTTTTTTTGCGCCCGAAGCAAATATGGGCAACCCTCCGGAAAGCGGGGGAGGGAGGTTGAGAATGCTCATAGCATACCACGCAGCCGGCTGCGTGGTTATGTGGAGACTTTTACCCACTAAACTCAACCTTTTGGGAATTGGCTTAACGATCTGACTAGAGATCTCTAAGCCGTATACGAACGCGACCCTCCTTGGCAGAAAGGAGGGCGCAATTATTTTCTCCGTCCTCCATCATTATTCGGTTACTTCAAATTATTTGTATCTAAAAAAAAAACATAAATTTAATATAATGCAATACCGCGTAAACGATAAACACAACTAGTATAATGTAGTATCAATACCACTTAACTACGTGTTACAGGTTATTATTACTCACAATCATAAAAATACTAAAGAATTGTACTTAATTACTCTATTCAAGCATAAATACATTAAAAACTAAACACTATAAAGAATAAAAACGTACTTACGTGGTTATTATTCACTACAAAATAATTATTTTCGAGAGCACGCACTAATCGTGTTTCAATTTGTTCGCCCATTTCGTAAATACGCGGATTTGCAGCCAACTTCAAACGCAAGTACTGTTACGCGGTATTGTTTTGATTGAAATATGACGTTTCTTATTGGCTAATTCAAATTGTGTGAGAAGTAGTATTTGGGAATCAGCGCTAAGGGTCTGTAGCCGCGAAATTTCAATTTTGCACTTTTTGCTGTTACGCGGTATTTACAAACTGCTCTTCCGCGGTATTGCACGCGCAACGACGCATTGTGTTTATATTGAAATGTTGTGTAGGTAGCAAGGGCGGGCGGTGATCTTTACAGTGATTACGTCACTCGAGCGCATAGGGTATCCATGAATTTACGGACGGTGTCGGACAGAAACTTTTTTAATTTTATAAAAGAAAATAGCGTTTTTTTTAAAAAAAAAATCGGATAAATATTTTTACATTAAAGCCAACCACCTATGGTTTCAGTGACAACGGTGTTTACACTTACACACTGTATATATATATATATATTACATACACACATTGTATTTTGTGTGCATGACTATCCAATGATCGAATTCATTCGAATTTTTCATTAGTGTTCTACCCACATAGCTCTCACCGCACCACCAAAGTTTAGCTGATAGAGAATACCACAAGTTCGCCTTTGTACAATTTTTTTTTGTACTAGTTGGTTATTGGTACTAGCCTCCTTTTGGGGGTGTAAGGGTGTAGAGAGACGGAATAATTACTGGCTGTGAGGCATTTCAACTTAATCCTCGGAGAGCAACACGCTTCTGTAGCCTTGTTTGTTTTAAGCTAGCATCAGGTGGCCAAAGGCTGCAGGTGGCCACTTATCATCAGGTGGACTGTTAGTCCGTGTGTCACATGAGTGAAACTACTTTACGGATTTAATCGCGTTTAATTTAATTTTTTGTAAATGTTGACGCCATTTATTAGTTTCATTCAATGTGATGTTCGCGTAAATATAAGGAAACATTCGTTCATCGCTTCAATTTTATATAAAAAATATTTCTTGTGCAAAATTTTGTATCTGTGTATAAAATAATGTAAAGCCACTGAGATTATTTTAGGTGTGGATTTAGATTTAATATCTGTATTTGTTTATAAAACGTACAACATCACTTTTTAAACAAATTATTGTATTTACACTGACAATTGAACGAAACTTAATATGGATTGCTAGTTATACCTTACTGAAATATAATGTATGTAAGGCAATTAAAAGAACTTAAGAGGATATCTGGGCGCGCTTAGTCCATATAAACGTATTGTATTTTCTTGCTAGATATGACACTAAAACTGCCTATGTATTTTTGTTTAAATATTATTTTAATGCTTGGAACCTTTTATAATTGGCCAGCTATTCCGACAATATCAAAAATTCAGCAAAAAAATTAAAAAAAAAACATTAAAAATTAAAAAGAGTCAGTAACAGCCTTTCATATTGTAGGTACTTAAAAATGTGAATCATTGATAAATTAACGTTTCGTCAATTTCTCACGAGTTGCAGTTGTGTCTCTCGGTTGTATAGCTTGATCATTCGGCCGCAGCGCGCCACAATACATCTGTTATAAAATGTGTTGTCACCCGATATCCTCTTAAGAAGATAATATCCATTTATATATTCGGACGAGAGCCAGTATAATTTGCAGGCATTTTATTTTAATCCTCGGAGGTGACAACGTATTCTTGGTCTTTGTTTGAAGTCAGTCACAGATTCCCATGGGCAGTAACTACTTGCCAAAAGATCGATGGACTGTAAGTTCGTCTATCATGTATTTTGTGAAAAAAAAAGTATAATCCATACTAAGGATGTCGTAATTATTGTGACGAATTTTGTCGCAAGTATTTACATTTGTAAATAAAAAAAACTTATCGCTTTATATTTAAACATCACTTAATATTTGTAATTTTTAGACTAAGTAATATTTGTACTTCCACAAAGTTGCTCCGTCCGCCACAACACTGCTCACGCTTGTGTCAAAACTTTTACTGTTATATTACTGTGTAAGTTCTGATTACGCTTAAATGTTGTGTTTAAATCAGTCAACGCAAATAAAACATGGAAGCATTCTAGCTCACTATCATTATACTAAATAATTATAATTTGTCCTCCACCTTATTAGAGCTAGGACACTTTGGGCGTTAGGCGTTGCGTTCGGCGCGCGTTAATAGTGTACATACAAAGCGCTCAGCATTGCGTTCGACGAGCGTTAGCAGGTCAAGTCCCAAATAGCTGGTCGCTTTTGGATTTTATGAATAAACAAATCTGTATCAAAATGCTCTCTTTCCATTTTTGTCAACGTGCGTCCGCTCAACACGAGCGCGCGATCAAATATACTAAAAAATGGCGGCCCATGTATCTAAAAGCGCGCTAAAATAAAATCTGACAGCGCGCGTCTGACACGCGCTTGAATAAAAGCGTGTGTTGGAATGTGTACGGGTGTATCGGAGGACTAGATGGTTTTCAAAACGCGCGTTACCAAAGCGCGCTCTTCAAAACTTGATGTGTACTGGCTCGTACATAAAATGTCCCTAGTGATGAGTGACACCTGACAAGCATAATGGCATCATTTAATAAACGTAAGTGACTTGTATGTAGATATGAAATGTATTGCAATTGAAAGCAAAACTAACTAAAAAGTCTGTAGTCTTCGACATTGTAGTTGACCTCGAAAAATAATTAGGTTTGCATAATTAGATGGCCGAGAAGTGTTTGAATCTTTTTCAGTGAACAATTTTCTTTTAAGTTTGAGAGAAACTTTTGTATGCTTAGTAATTTTTTCTCGGGTAGACTCATTATGTCCGTACTTGTGTTGCAATGCAAGTTTAAGTATTCTAGGCTTTGAGTTGGCTTCACGATAGACTTGGAATAATTCAAATGTCATTCCAATTGTTCTGAGAAGTTCACAGTTTCCGCAACCTTAAACTTTAACTTGGATCTGTCCTTGTTGACTAATACATAAATTTAAAATCCTCGCGCCCGTAATACCTCTGCGGTTCAATTTGTTATGGCTGCAAAGGTTTGAGGAGCTGAAGATAGTCCAAAAGGAAAGGCAGAGAGTTGCAAGATCTCTCCATTGTGTCCTTAAAACATTTTGTGTGTCTTTGCTATAGACAGATGGAAATATGTTTGTGACAAATCTATTTTAGTCATCCAGTCCTTCTCTCGGAGGCATTTTCAGACTGTTGTTTGTGATAGCAACTTGAAATTTTCGTTGCTACTGAGTATTGCGAGGTCTTTAGGTCGAAAATTGAACGTAGCCCACTATCTGCCTCTATTTCCTTGCAACAAACGTCTTGGAAATGAAGCCTGCATTTATATATTCTGGTTTTTCTAATATTTGCTGGAAGTTTATTTTCTGTATTTAATCTATAATTTGCATTGACATTCTCGTTGCATATTTCTTTTGTATTATGGCTGATGTGTTGTATAGTAAGGGTTTGCTTTTGAATGGGATTCGGTGATCTGTCAAGGTTTTTATTAAAAACTGAATTCTATTGATGTTGAGAGAATCTCAGACATCCCGCTTTGAACTTTCTTTGATTGTCACTTACTGTTTCCGGAAAGAAAAGGCTTATGTTTAGTAAAGTTTTCCTTTTTAATAGTCTTGTCAGGGTTCTTCTCACTATCAGCCTTCCTGTAATTGTTATTAGAATAAGGTTTTTTTGTTTTGAAAGTCTATAGATGTTTGGCCTTCTTGAGGTCTATAAGAGTTCATACCACTAGTATTTATTAAAGGTTTATGTTTCTTCATATAAG